GACTATTCAGATGTCAATAACCTGTGGGAATGTTGAATGTGCTGAGTAGCACATGCGTATAGCGTTCCATTACTTGACAAAAGTCAAAACTGTGGGAACAACGACATACGTGTGTTTCTTCATGATAACTTATGCAATATAGGTTACGTCCCCACAAAAAAAAAAAAAGTTTCCAGGAATCAGGGTAAAAATACCTAACTCTGGAAAAAAATTTGAAAAATCGAAAAGATTTTACTAAACTACAGTTGTTTTATAACTTTTACATTCTTACCGTTGTGAAACAGTCCAAAAATTAGCAAAAATTAGCTCATTCAATTAAAAAGTGTAATCGTGTGGAATGAGAACCTGAGATTATCACATTGATTTTCCCTAAAGACAAACAAAAAAGAGTTGTAGTTTTCTATCGTAAACATTCTGACTTTGCTGTTTATCTTAGTATGAAGACCTTTTCAGAAATAGTAAATTCGAACAAACAAATTATGAATAATAGAAATAGAAAATTTTTAAAGAACAAAAGAAAAGAAGAATCATAGGTGACATAATGTACAATTTTTTAGTAGTCTTTAGTCTTTCTTTAGTCTTTCTTAATTTTATGATTGTTGTTTTTTTCGTTCTTCTGAAAACTAAAACAAATTCAATGTCAAGGCTTTTGAAAACGTAGGGTTAAAAAGGTACGAACTTTATTCGATAGATTTGAAAGTATATCATTCGGATGCAATTCTTTAATACAGTTTATCATTGTGGACGACATAAAGTAAATACCAGATATTATCTTAACAAACTAGGATAAACTCTAAGAAAACATATCCTAATAAAACATATACTCTATAGAGATCTTTCTACAGAAAACAAGTTAAAAAGCAGTAAGTTCGGCCGGGCCGAACTTTGAATACCCTCCACCATTTGGAACGACTTTGGAAATTTTCAAAAAATATAATGTGTTAAAAATTCTGTTAAACTCTTAATAATACCGAATATAACCGTTATATTGGGGTCTATAAGAATATAGCCGTTATATTGGGGTCTACATGGGCATTGTTTGTCATAAGCCGTTACAATATTCAAATTCGAAACTTGAAATAAACGGTGAGTAATATAGCTAAAATCTTTAAAATACCGTATATAGGGATATATCGTTATATCGGAGCTGTACGAAGACTTGGACCTGCAAGATAAATTTCTGTCATAGGCTGTAGGAAACAATTTCGGTGAGTATTGTACCTAAAATCATCAAAATACCGAATATAGGGAGGTACTGATATATGGGGCCTATACGAAGACCTGTCATAGGCTGTAGCATCCATTACGAAGTTCAAATACGACATCTCAAACAATTTCGGTGGGTATTGTACCAAAACTGATATATGGGGCCTAAACGAAGACCTGAACCAGCATAGACCATTTTCTGCCACAGACTGTTGATCTCATTACGAATTCTAAAAATGTAATTTGAAACAATTCCGGTGAACAATGACGATAAAATCATCAAAATACCGTATATTGCGAGGTACCGTTATATAGGTTCTATATGAAGACGTGACCTGGATAGAAAATTTTCTGTCATAGGCTGTAGCATCCATTACGAAGTTCAAATTCGTCATCTCAAACAATTTCGGTGGGTATTGTACCTAGACACGTCAAAATACCGAATTTAGGAAGGTACTGATATAGTTGGTCTAAATGAAGACCTGGACCTGCACAGTAAATTTACTATCTTTGGCTGTAATATACCTTTGGAACTTCAAATACCAAAATTTGAAACAATTCCGGTGAATAATGTCGCTAAAATCATCAAAATACCGAATATAGGGAGGTACCGTTATATGGGGGCTATATGAAGACGTGGACCTACATGGCCCATTTACGAACTCAATCTGCCTACTGGAAAAATAAACATGTGTGCAAAATTTTAGCCTTCTGTCTCTATTCGTTCGAAAGATAGCGTGATTACAACAGACAGGCAGACGGACATCGCTAAATCGACTTAGAATTTTACGCTGATCAAGAATATATATACCTTGTTGGTCTGACATGAGTATTTCGAGGAGTTACAAACGGAATGACAAAGTTAATAAAATGTGATAATCTTACGGAGTTACATCATAATCAACATAGGATTTTAAAATATCAAATCAAAACTATTTAGTCTGCAAAATTTTGTAACAAAGTTTGTGAGAAATTATTCCTACTATGTCAAAAAATTAACCAATTTTAAGGCTTATAAAAACTGAAAGACAGTGGACAATAAATACTAAAAATGACAAATTATAAACAATTAAGTTGTAAATTGGAATCTGAATCGACAAATTAAAACACTATGCAACACAAACAAGTTTAAAAGCAGTAAGTTCGGCCGGACCGAACTTTGAATACCCTCCACCATTTGGAACGAATTTGGAAATTTAAAAAAAAAATAAAATCCTTAAAAAATTCTGTTAAATTTTAAAAATACCGAATACAGCCGTTATAATGGGGTCTATACGACGTGGACCTACATATGCATTGTTTGCCATTGGCCATTACCATATTCAAATTCGAAACTTGAAATAAACGGTGAATAATGTAGCTAAAATCATCAAAATATCGTATATAGGGAGGTACTATTATATCGGAGCTGTGCGAAGACCTGGATTTTTTTTTTCTGTCACAGGCTATAGCATCCATTACTAACGTCAAATACGATATCTCAAACAATTTCGGTGGGTATTGTACCTAAACTCGTCAAAATACCGAATATAGGGATGTACTGATATATGGGGCCTATACGAAGACCTGGACCTGCATAGACATTTTTCTGTCACAGACTGTAGTTCCCATTACAAACTCTAAATACGTAATTTGAAACAATTCCGGTGAATAATGTCGCTAAAATCATCAAAATACCGAATTTTGGGGAGGTACCGTTATATGGGGGCTATACGAAGTCGTGGACCTGCACAGATAATTTTCTGTCTTAGGCTGTAGTATCCATCACGAATTTCAAATACCAAATTTGAAACAATTCCGGTGAATAATGGCGCAAAAATCATCAAAATACCAAATACAGGGAAGTACCGTTATATGGGGGCTATACGAAGACGTGGACCTGCTCAGATAATTTTCTGTCATAGGCTGTAGTATCCATTTCGAACTTGAAATACCAAAATTGAAACAATTTCGGTGAATAATATCGCTAAAATCATCAAAATTCCGAATATCGGGAGGTACCGTTATATGGGGGCTATATGAAAACGTGGACCTACATGACCCATTTCCGAACTTAACCTGCCTGCTGAAAAAATAAACATTTTAGCCTTCTATCTCAATTTGTTCGAAAGATAGCGTGATTACAACAGACAGACGGACATGGCTAAATCGACTTAGAATTTTACGCTGATCAAGAATACTTTGTTGGGTCTGACATGAGTATTTCGAGGAGTTACAAACGGAATGACAAGGTTAATATACCCTCCATAGTATGGTGGAGGGTATAAAAATAATTACGGGGAAAGCTCAGCAGATTATTAAAGTAGAGCTAAAAAGACACGTGTATCGGTTTTCTAAAAGTTTAGATCGAAAAGAAACCAAAATAGAGGGGCAAGTTCCCCCTTTCCCTTTGGAAATATTCGCAGTCCGTGCGTTAAAGATATATGTATGGTGTCTTCGGCAATATTACGTGGTGTATTTTGGTCGGAAATTTTAATCCTAAAGTGAGTCAATAATGGTGTATTTATGGTCCTTTTTTAAAATATAGTTAAAAGAGTTAAAGACCTATTTTTGAGACTTTTTGCAAAAATCTTCAACAAAGCATCATTTCAGACCGAAGAAACGTCAAGAAAAAATATTCTTCATCAAAGTATATTAGTGTCAATCATTAAATTTTTACATATATATTTTTGTTATAAAAACCCCTTGTTTATTTCTGAAAAATTTTAGCACTTTTTCCCTTCCTTCCTTATAATTCCATTGTACTCTTACGATAGCTAATCTGGGCTATGCAAATACCCACAAGATTAGATAGTACTAAAGTAGAATTTTACGACAAAGAATTTTGTTGAATATTTTGACTTGCTACGATCCCTTTTTAAGGAAGTTTTTAACAATACATTAAGACCCATTTGTAGACTCGCTTGAGGGTTAAAAATTTCGGACAAAATATCCATCGTAATTTTTTTTCAAGGTTCAAGAAGACTATATTAGGTATAATGCACGGATTACAAAGAATCTTAATACTGAAATCTTCAACAGTGTGGAAAAAGGGAGAAACTTACCTCTCTATTTTGGTTTCTTTTCGAAGTAAACTATCAAAACCCTGATACACGTGTCTTCGTTTTTAGCTTTACTTTGAAAGATTTTCTCCCTAATTATTGAAAAAAATTAATTTTTTCGCACAGTGCAATTAATTAGGTTGCATTTCAATCTGGAGATACCATTTTCAGAGAATAGTGTAATTGTATACAAATTCTTAAATTTTCTCGGTTTTAAAATCTTTAAATCTTTGTCCGTACTTTCGTATTATTTGGCAATAACGATAGTGTGGTCAGATGTGTTAGACAACTTCGCGTTTTGGGCCCATCCAACCAGAAGGAACTCTTTATAAAGAGATTCGTATGAAAATATTGGAATGTATAGCTCAACTAGGTAATTAAGTCAAAATGCTAATTAAGACAGTCGACCTACTCAAATTCGAAAACGAATTCCGTCGTTTCTCAAGAATGGCACTTGATTGTTCCTGTATTTTCGATGTCATCATGTAACGTATATTACTATGGAATATTTTTGAACTGGCAAAGATTTTTTAACATTTTAGGTTTGAGACTTAAATATATTTTAATATTTTTCCGTTGTGTGTATAGTCATCAGTCTATGATCGGTTCAACGAACTATTACATTGTGCTATTGTGTTGGAGTGATAACAATGTTGTGTTACAACTTAGCAGAAAATTATCCTTATAGGGCAACGTTGTGCATACTTTTTAAAGACTATAACTACTGTACTATTAGTGAAAATAAGATACTACCACAAGAACTGTAAGGCACAAACACACATGCACCATCAGTTCCACGAAAGCGCCATTTGTGAAAGGGGCATTCAACTGTATCTCCAAATACTCTTCCTGTCCCAATATTAGCCCCTAAATGGGGACAATATGCATCCAATACATACACCGAAGAGCTTAATGTTCTAAAAACTGCAAACTGTTTTCCAAGAGCAAACACATTTTTAACTTCTCCCCTCTTGAGTTCAAAGGATTCCAAAATGCTATACCAACCATTTGGATATGGAGGTGGTAACTCTTTCGGTCCGTTCTTTCTAAGGTTGTTTATAGATGCCTTCCTGTTCATAACATTTATTCCTCCGCCAGTTAAATATTCAAATTCTATCTTCTATGCGCAAAAAATAGCAGTATTTAATAGAAACGTCATTACTGAAATAAATCTAGAGCGGGCGTTTTTCTGACGATTTGTACAATTTTAATATGTTCGATTATGTTGCATTTATATATTTTTCAATTTTTAAGACGGGTAATGTTATTAAGCTTTAGATATAAACTTGCAGTCCGCAAACAGGGTTTCCTATTGGATATGTTTTTCTATGTGTGTGTGCACCCAAATAAATACTTCTAAACTATATAAAACGTTTGTCTTGGCATTGCCCCATTTCTCTGGAACGTCATTACCGCTGACTGACCCAACAAGGCTCTTATGTTGTAGTTAGTGTCCACGGCTTCGGTCACACAGAGGCAAAGAAGTATGGTAGCTCAGTTACTTTTGCAAGCAATGGTGCCCCATGCAGCATCGAGTGATGTCTATAATCGCATCCCTCTCTGTCGGTAATAAAGGGACAATCTCTTGCTTCACCAGTTGCCTTCTGGGCCAAAATGAAAAAGCTCCTCAACATTCCTCAATTTGGAGATTAAGCTAGTCGTAGAATGAATTTAGCTCAAATCGTGACTTCTCTATTTATGTAAACCATTATCTGGGTGCGCGATGCATAATCACGCAGGTCGAAAATTTCTCATTAATAAGTTAATGGTTCTGTTTTCATAAAAAATTTCTTAGCAACAAATTGAAGAAGTTCTCGGTTAAGCAAAAAACAAGTTAAAAAGCAATAAGTTCGGCCGGGCCAAACTTTGAATACCCTCCACCATTTGGAACGAATTTGGAAAATTTCAAAAAATATAATCTGTTAAAAATTCTCTTCAACTCTTAAAAATACCGAATATAACCGTTATATTGGGGTCTATAAGAATATAGCCGTTATATTGGGGTCTATAAGAATATAGCCGTTATATTGGGGTCTATATGGGCATTGTTTGTCATAAGCCGTTACCATATTCAAATTCGAAACGAAATCATTAAAATACCGTATATAGGGAGGTATCGTTATATCGGAGCTATACGAAGACCTGGACCAGCATAGACAATTTTCTGTCATAGGACGTAGCATCCATTACGAAGTTCAAATACGACATCTCAAACAATTTCGGTGAGTATTGTACCTAAACACGTCAAAATACCGAATTTAGGGAGGTACTGATATATGGGGCCTAAACGAAGACCTGGCCTGCATAGACAATTTTCTGTTACAGACTGTAGATCCCACTACGAATTATAAAAACGTAATTTGAAACAATTTCGGTGAACAATGACGATAAAATCATCAAAATACCGAATATTGGGAGGTACCGTTATATGGGGGCTATACGAAGACGTGACCTGCATAGAAAATTTTCTGTCATAGGCTGTAGTATCCATCACGAACTTCAAATACCAAATTTGAAACAATTCCGGTGAATAATGTCGCTAAAATCATCAAAATACCGAATATCGGGAGGTACCGTTATATGGGGGCTATATGAAGACGTGGACCTACATGGCCCATTTACGGACTAGCCTTCTATCTCTATTCGTTCGAAAGATATCGTGATTACAACAGACATACAGGCGGACAGACAGACGGACATCGCTAAATCGACATAAAATTTTACGCTGATCAAGAATATATCTACGTTGTTGGGTCTGACATGAGTATTTCGAGGAGTTACAAACGGAATGACAAAGTTAATATACCCTTATACTTTTGATATGGCGTCTTGTCTTTAAGCCTTGCACATAATCTTAGCGAGTGATCTTCTTGGCATAAGCCGCCAGAGTTTTGCCAATAGTCTGGTCTTTCGGAGCTGGCAACATTGAGCCATCAATTTTGATTGGAAGGTATGAAGGTAATGCCCATATTCGACGGACCCATGAAACAAATTCTTCAGAAAATCAATTGTTATGCGACTTGTGTACGGTGGAGCGCCGTCTTGTTGAAAGCAAACGTAAAATGAAAAGTTTTTTCACCGTTTCATACAAATACTGATTCGAGTTCTATGAAAACATAAAAACATATGTTTTAATGTTTTCATATGAAAGGAACGATAGAAAGTGAAACTAGTCTTTTCACGTTTTCACAAAGTAAGCTATTCCGATTCTATGCAATCATGAAAATTGAATCAAAAAAGTTTTCAGTTGAAAAATATTTTTTCATACAAATTTTCTCTATGAAAATGGAAAAATCGGTCCGTGGTAAAAGAGCCTCGGAAGAACAAAAGGAATTTTTAATAAATTTCCTTGAGGAAAATGTGGATTTGGCGAACGACAAGTAAGACAATTTACAATTTTACAAAAAAAATCATGTTTCTTTATAAAATAAAAATATACGTATATTTAAGATTTTGTACTGTTGATGGTGCAAAATATAGAGAAGAAAAATGGAAGGAATTGGCGGAATGCTTGAATGCTATTGGAGGGACTATGAAGGATGGTGCCAAGTGGAGGAAATATTGGAGTGATTTGAGGTATGACTTATTTTAATTGTAGAATCTTAAAGATATTTTGGAAGAATATTATAAGCATTATATTTTGTAGAGGAGCAAAATTGGGAGAATGGATCTAACAATGGACCGGACAATGGAAATTGAATCGCTCGATATGCTTTTACGTATTTTAATACCAATCAATGTTTGTCAGTGTACATGCGTTTATCTATGCAATTTTTTCCATTCGTATAGGCAACATACGCGCTCCAAATACCTTTTGATGAAAAGAGACGAACAAAAAAGTGGAATTAATGGACTAAAAAAATCAAACAACTATCTGAAGTAGATTCAGATTATAAATATTACCAAAATAGAAGCGGTTGATGGGGATAAAACTCAGGAGCTGGGGTTTCTATGTAGTCCCGGGTTACATGTGGAAAATAACTCATCAGACATTTGCTATATAGAAGAAGAGAAAGTGGAAGCTAATACTCTAAAGGAACGAGAGATTGAAGCTATAAAGGAACAAACAGAAGCGATTAAGACTGATACACAAGCAAAAGTGGATTTTTTTAAAAAAATACAGGAAGTCATTCAAGTTCTCGCTTGTAATAATAATGGCTTCTAACATAATAATAAATAAATTCTAGCCATTACTAAAAATGATGTCGATTATTCTTAAACTGTTTTGGAAACAAGCTTGACAAAAATCAGCAAGGTGTGGATAAAAGTTGTCCGTCTGTGGAAATCAGCCTAGCGTCCGAACGAATTGAAGTAAATTGATACAATTTTATTCAAATGTGTGTTTGGTCTGCAGGACTTTTGATATTGAAAATTTGTTATGTAGGCCCACGTATAGGTAAAACCCACACTTCGTTATAGGTACTACAGCCTGCGACAGAGAATTTCAGATCCACGTCTTCGTAAAGTATTTTTAAGATTTTAAAAGAGTTTGCCTTTATTTATTTAGTTTTTTTTTTTTTTTTTTTTTGACAATTTCCGAATTCTTTCCAAATGGTGGACGGTATTCAACTGCTTTTTCACTTGTTTTTTAATAATTTTATTGATTTTCCAATCTATTCTTATCTATTGAGCAAATACGTTTTCAACTATCTCGGAACGTTGCCTTTTTGCAATACTTGATATATTTCGGCATGAAATATCCGCAGTTGCATTTGTTTGTTCCCCATTGTCATTCATTTCCTCTAATATTATTTCCGGATGCGGTATCTTTTTTTGAACTAAAAAATTATGCAGGACCAAACAGACGTTTATTATCAGACCTGCTTTTGGTGGACTATAATAAAGTGTCCTTTCTTTTGATAAGCATTGAAATCTTGATTTTAGTATACCAATACATCTTTCTACTAATGCTCGTGTTGATTTGTGCGCGATGTTATAGCGCTCTTCGGATGTATTGCACGTTGAAAGTATAGGAGTCATCAACCACGGCTATTTGGTGAATCAAACGAATACACTTTATTATTTCTACACATAATACGGTTGTATATTTTACCTGCAATGGGTAAAGCCTCCTAAAAGCCAATAATTACGTTCTCCTCCAGTATATAAATCTTCTAGTATTCTGCAAGCTTGGGAACTTCTCCAAACATAAGAATCATGTGCTGTACCACCAAATCGTGCGTTAGCTGCCAAAATAATATAATTTGAATCGCATATAATCATCACATTCTTTGAATGTCCTCCTTTTCGACAGTAATATATATGCTCAATTTCCCGCCTTGGAGCAGATATTTTAATATGAGTGCCGTCAATAACTCCTATAATCCCTGGAAATTGAAATTTCTCCATAAACCTTATTTTAAGTCCTGGGAAATCTTCTTGTTTTGGAAATTGTATATAATTGTGTGAAATATTGTTCAAAGCTTTAGCAACCATAGTTACACATCTGCTTACGGATGTTTAAGATAAAGCGGATAAATTATCTTGTCCTACACTTCGTTGAAAGCTACCCGTAGCAAAAAAACGTAGTGCACTTAGTACTATTAGATGGCATGGAATTGCATGGACTCTTGTTGATTTCGGCAAAAATGGCTTCAATTCTTCGATGAGTTCCAAACACAAATGCTAGGGCATCCTATACAACTCAAAAAAACTCTCCTCTCTGGCTATTTCAAATGGATTGTGGTGATCCCGAAGACTGCGTCTAAGAATTCGAAGCGAGTTCCTAAACAATTGTATAGTTATTTTATGTTAACTTTTTTAGATGATTGTACTAACATTTGTTCTATTCTGTGTCTTTGCGATATATGATACAATATAATGGAACTTTACATTTTTGATCGTATATTGTTTGATTTTACGACAATATTATTTTTTCCTGTTAACATATGTATGTCAACTTTACAATTACTTCAATAACATAGTTACAATAGTTTCATTACGACACGGAATTGAAACATTGTTTTCACAAAATGAATCAGAATCGGAAAATATGTTTTTATGAAAACGAATTATGAAAAGTTGTTATGAAAACGAAATTCAAAATAATTTTTTTCATTTCACATTTTCATAGAACCAGAATTGACCCCCAGAACTGCCTCATACGCTTTCGACGAA